ATCACAAAAGGACAAGTACAACATGAGTCCAATGAGGTAAGTACAATCAGCACAGTGGATATAGAAGAAAATCCACTTATCTCACATTATACGGGTTGAGGTACAGGTAGTTGGGCAGGGGACAGGCCAAACCCAAGAATGTACATGTCATTCAAACTCAAAGAAGGGTTAAGGGAGTATGGAAAGAGGGAGATGATGGCACTGGGGTCAGGGTACTAAACCATCCAGATGCATGGTATTGTCTTTTTTAATATGTCAATAAAATGGCTAAGTTTTTAAAAAGTTTACTTATTATTTCAAGTCATTTTCTTGGGGCCTCATACTACTCTTATCACACTCCGTACACACATCAACTGTATAAAGTATATTTGTACATTTGTTGCCCTCATCATTCTCAAAACATTTGCTCTCCATGTAAGCCCCTAGCATCAGCTCCTCATTTTCCCCCCTCCCTCCTGGCTCCCTCCTCCCTCATGAACCCTTGATAATTTATAAATTATTTTTTTGTCCTATCTTACACGTCCGATGGCCCCCTTCACCCACTTTTCTTTTGTCTGTCCCCCCGGGAGGAGGTTATATGTAGATCCCTGTAATCAGTTCCCCCGTTCTCCCCTTCCCTCCCTCCACCCTTCTGGTATCGCCATTCTCACCACTGCTCCTGAAGGGATCATCCATCCTCGATTCCCTGTGTTTCCAGTTCTTATCTGTACCAGTGCACATCCTCTGGTCTAGCCAGATTTGTAAGGTAGAGTTGGGATCATGATAGTGGGGTGGGGGTGGGGGGAGGAGGAAGTATTTAGGAACTAGAGGAAAGCTGTATGTTTCATCGTTGCTACACTGCACTCTGACTGGTTCGTCTCCTTCCCACGACCCTTCCATAAGGGGATGTTCAGTTGCCTACAGATGGGCTTTGGGTCCCAAGCCACACTCTCCCTCATTCACAATGATATAATTTTTTGTTCTTTGATGACTGATACCTGATCCCTTCAACACCTAGTGATCACACATACTGGTGTGTTTCTTCCATGTGGACTTTGTTGCTTCTGAGATAGATGGCCACTTGTTTACCTCCAAATCTTTAAAACCCTAGATGCCATATGTTTTAATATCCATGCTCCATCAACTTTCTTCACCACATTTGCTTATGCACCCACTTTGTTTTCAGTGATCATGTCAGGAAGGTGAGCCTCATGGAATGCCAGTTTAATAGAATAAAGTGTTCTGGCATTGAGGGAGTACTTGAGTGGAGGCCTGGCCATGTTTTTTGTTGGTGGTTGTTTTAGTCTATTCTACAGTTTTGGGTTTTCATTTCTTTGTCATAAAAAGTGCCACACATTTTTAACATTATATCAGAATCCATTTTGGCATACTGGATCTGCCATCAAATGGAAATCCTTGTAACTGTCACAAGGTATTTGTGGATTAGCCCAGTTCTTTAAATATAGCAAAGGCCTGTCCCCTCATCTTCATAGTCTTTAAGCTAGGGGATCTACCACATGGCCAAATTGAGAAAATAGAGCATATAATGACCTCTTCAATTTTTCCTTTTTAATTTTTCCATTCATGTTGTTGTATGATTTGGCCTGATATCCATGTTTTCGGTTATACTGTTCAAGCAACCTAAAGCCTTCTCCTGTTAGAGCCCAAAGCCTGAAACAGAGTCAGACCAGCATAGCTCTATTTCCTGGGCCTTGTTTTCCTCAAAGAGGTGTTGGATTAAGCTTTACCCTTACTCTCATATGTTTTATTATTTTTTTATTGTTTACTAGAGAAACTCAATTTCTTGCAAAAGAAGTAATGCACAGCTATCCAACAGATGATACAATCAGATTTATATCTACTGGTATTAGCATGTTAAAAATAAAGCTCTTTGTATTTCCCAGACTTTGTGATGAAGGGCCCTACCATCTTCCTGAACAATGGATTTTTTTTTTTTAAACAATGGATTTTTGAGACTCTTACTCTCGCAATAAGAGAGGACCTCTTAAGGGGAGCTGATGTAAAGGAGTTCAAGAAGAAACTGTTTGGAGACTGATTGTGGTAGCAGCTGTACAATTTTGCTTGACCTAATTGAATTATGGATTGTTATGATATCTGTATGAGCTCCTTATTAAGGAAAATAAATTTTAAAAAGGAAAAAAAAGGCATCTCCTAAAAAGAAAGTTTTAGCTATATGTCTTGATAGATTCATTTTGGCAAACAGATCAAGCCTGATACTTTATTAGGTCTAGAATTTGGGTGATATGTTGAACTTGTTTGTGAATATTACATAAATTGTTTTGAACATTACATGATGTCATGCATATGAAAAGTTTATTGAATATCTAGCTGTGTTAGGTTGGGTAAATTAAAGTAACAAATCCATGGACACTCATATGTGTAAGAAAGAGCTTTATATCAAGAAGTCATTATATATCAAGAAAACATCCCAGTCCAGTCCAGCTTAAGTCCATATGTCCAATACTAGTCCATAAGTCCCTCTTTATACTCACAAAGATAACATGCAATGATGTAGAATGCAGAAACCTCACCAGCCAGTGGGTGAAAAGTCTTGTGGCTCCAATGGCGGTGGAAGCATCACAGGTCTCTGTTGGCTCCTCCACAGGAAGATGAAAGCAGAGAGAGAGGAAATTCCCAAAACCCTCTTTTTGAGAAGGCTACATCCACAAGGAAGCACCATCAGAGCGTAACCTGATTGACAAGCTAGACTCCACCCATAACTTCTTACAGGTGCCATGTTGGCAAAGGAAACCTAACTCACATTAGCATACAGTATTTGCTGTCATAAAGGCCATTTCTCACCACCATCTGAAAACCAGAAATGCCTCTTGGGATATTGAAACAGCCTGCTCAAGAAGATGAGTAGCAGATACTTTTACTTTTCTCTTTCTTGGAGAACCCCACTGTTAGTCTGGGTGGTTTAGAGAAACAAATCCACAGAAACTCATGTATAAGGAAGAGTTTCATATAAAGGGCAAGTGCACATCAAGAAAGCATCCGACCCAGTGCTTCCCAAGCCCACAAGTCCAACCTTAGCCCATATGTCCAACACCAATCCACAAAGTCCTCCTCCATCTCACAAAACACACACTATGAGTCCAACTGTAGGAGGAAAGCCGAATCAGTGAACATGTAAGCATCTCAGCACTAGCAGGGGTCTCCACACAGGTTCTCCAGCACCCAGGGCTGTATCAGGGTAGGTCCATGCAGCTTCTTCTCAGGGATGTCTTGAAGGAAGTGAGCCTTGCCAGACAAAGCAGGGAACTGGTTAAGGCAGCTGCACCCTGGTCTGACCATCACAAAGCAAGAAACCCAAGAACTAGAAAGGTGAGGCTCACTGAGCCATTTCTCTCTCTGCCTTTCAATTAGCCCCACATATGTTTATCGGCCAGGTTGGCACAATAAACTAACTACCTCATTCACATTAATTGATCAACTGTGGAATAATTCTTTCCTACCTATCTTCGTGGTGGGCCTATCACACAGGTATGACCTAATTTAGTACTCTACCCCTTATTCTTCCCACTCATTTATCAGTTTGTTGTATTGTAGTGGTTTGTGTGCTGCTTTTATCCTGGAAGCTATTTTGGTCATTCATGGTGGACAGGTTTCAACAGAGTTTCCAGACTAAGAAGACTAGGCAGTAAGACCAAGGGATCTACCTTAAAACATTAGACAATGCGGCTTTTTATAAGGGGTTTTCCACCAGAATGTGGGTCTTGATGAAAACCACCACAAAATCTAAGCAAAAATGGGAAACGAAAAGACCCATGTCAACATTGCCTTCATTGGACATCTAGATTTGTGTTACATCACAGCTACTGGTCACCTGAACGACAAATGAGTGGGATCAACAGAAGAACCACTGGACACTGAGATGGAAGTTGCTGAGATGAGAAAGGGCTCCTTCAAGTCTGCCTGGGTCTTGGATACACTGAAAGCTGAACATGAGTGTGGCATCACTATTGATATTTCCCTATGGAAATCTGAGACCATCAAGTGTGCTATGTGACCGTCATTGATGGCCCCAGCATGGAGTCTTTATTAGACACAGATTGCAAGAACACAAGTTGACGCTTCTGTCTTCATTGTTGTTGTTGGTTTGGGCAAGTTTGAAGCTGATATCTTCAAGAAAGGAGCCTGGAGGGTGTAGTAGTTATGTGTTGGGCTGTGATCCTAATGGTTAGCAGTTTGAAACCACCAGCAGCTACGCAGGAGAAAGACTTGCCTTTCTGCTTTCGTAAACAGAATTTTAGAAAACCACAAGGGGTCACTGTGAGTCAGCATTGACTCGATGGCAGAGAGTGATCTCCCAATATGGGTAGACCCATGAACATGCTCTTCTGGCTTAACTACTGAGTGTCAAACAATTAATTGTTAGTTTTAACAAAATAGGTTCCTCTGAGTTACTTTACAGTCAGAAAAGATATGAAGAAACTCTTAAGGAAGTCATGCCACCCAATTAAGAAAATTGGCTACGAATTTGACATAGGAGCATTTTTGCCAGTTTTAGGATGGGATGGTGACTACCTCCTGGAGGCAAGTGCCGTATGCCTATGTTCTGCTTCCATAAAGGAAGGTGATGGAAGGCCACCCATAAGAATAGCGATGCCAGTAGACCCATGCTGCTTGGAGCTCTCAATTGCATCCTACCACAAATCACAAGCCCCTGTGTCTGCATCTCCAGGTTGTCTATAAAAGTTGAGGTACTAGTATTATCCTGTGCACAGAATAGAGATTGGTGTCCTCAAATTGAGCATGGTTGTCACTTTTGCTCCATCAATGTTATCACTGAAGAAAAGCCTGTTGAAATGCACCATGAAGTTTTGCCTGAGGACAATGTAGGCTTCAATGTCAAAAAATGTTTCTGTCAATGATGTTTGCCAGGCCAATTTGGTTGATGACAGCAATGAAAGTAGCTGGGTGTACTGTTCAGGTGAGCATCCTGAACCAAACCTGACTCACTGCCACCAAGTCAATTCTGACTCATTCCCGGTTAGATGAGTGCTGGATATGCACCTGTGCTGGATATGCACGTCCGCTACCTGGACGTCAGCATCCTGGGCAAGTTCGCTGTTGTCATGGCTGACCCCCCCTGGGATATTCACATGGAGCTCCCCTACGGAACCCTGACGGACGATGAGATGCGCAGGCTCAACATCCCCATACTGCAGGATGATGGCTTTCTCTTCCTCTGCGTCACAGGCAGGGCTATGGAGCTAGGCAGGGAATGTTTGAACCTCTGGGATTATGAATGGGCAGATGAAATTATCTGGGTGAAGACAAACCAACTGCAGTGCATCATTTGGACTGGCCGTACAGGTCACTGGCTGAACCACGGGAAGGAACATTGCTTGGTTGGTGTCAAAGGAAATCTCCAAGGCTTCAACCAGGGTCTGGATTGTGATTGTGGCTTAGGTTCATTTTACCAGTCATAAACCAGATGAATCTATGGCATGATTGAGAGACTATCCCCTGGTACTCACAAGATTGAGTTATTTGGTCGACCACACAATGTGCAACCCAACTGGATCACCCTGGAGAACCAACTAGATGGAATCCACTTGCTAGACCCACATGTAGTTGCCTGGTTCAAGCAAAGATATCCAGACGGCATCATTTCTAAGTCTAAGAATTTATAGAAGCACTTCCACAGCCATCTGGCTACATCTGGAATGTAATATTACTATACTATAGCGCTTTTTCCTTATTTAAATAAAAGTTTGTAATGTAGTTGAGGAAAAAGGGGAAAAATAAGAAAAAAAGCGAAAAAAAGGAAAAAGAAAGGGAAAAACTGAAAAAAGAAAAAAAGGGAAAGAAAGAAGAAAAAAATGTCACATAGTTCACATTGCTTGCAAGTTTGTTGAGCTCAAAGTCAAGTTTGATAATCACCAGCTTGGTAAGATTCAGGAAGATGGATTAAAATCCTTAAAATTCTCTAATGCTGCCAGTGTTGACTTGATTCCTGGCAAGCCCATGTGTGAGAACATCTCTGTTGATTCTTCTTTATGTCATTTCACTGCTTACAACATGAGACAGACAGTTGCTATGAATGCCATCAAAGCAGTGGACAAAATGGCTGCTGGAGCTAGCAAGGTCATTAAGTCTGATCAGCAAGCTTAGAAGGCTAAATATTACCCATATTATCCATAACACCTGCCACTCAGGTAGTAGTCAGTGGTAGAAGAATGATCTCAGAGTGGCTGATCTTAATTGGCCACTTAAGTTTAATAGCAAAAAGCTAGTTAATGATAATGATTTGTAAATTTTTCAGAAGGAAAAGAATATTTTGTGAACCATTTGTTTCTTTTTGTGTGTGGCAGTTTTAAGTTGTTCTTATTATTTTTGTACTTTTAATGGTGAATTGGGTGAACATTTAAAGAGCAGATAATTAGGTTTCATTTAACAATTCATACAGTTTATGCTTCATTTCATTCATTGTAATCCCTTTAATGTAACACCACTCATCCCACCTTCTTCCTGTTTCCTGTTTCTATTCCCTTTTTTCCCCCAACCCATTGAATTTTATCCCTGGGTAAACACTACTCTTTTGCTCTCAAATGATCACTTAGGTATGTATATTTCACGAGTGTTATTGTTTCCCCAGTAGACTTGCCTATTTTTTAGATGAAAATTGAGCAAAGGGGGGACGGAGGGCGGGGAGTTAATTTACAGACCTGAAGGTGACTAAGGTAACTAAATCCACCAATCTCTAACCAACCAGTAAGATTAGTTTCTTCTATGATTTTGAGTTATGTTTCACCTTTTACTCCCACTCTATCCAGGACCTTCTAATGGGATCCCTTTCCTAGTAGTTGGTAGTGGTAGCCAGACACCATCTTGTTCTTCTGGTCTCAGGGTCAAGAAGACTGATGTTTGGATGATCTATTAGCCCACTGGACTAAACGCTTCCATGTATCTTCAGTTTTCAACATCCTCTTTCCGACAGAGTGTGAACGAGCCAATAGTTGTACCTTAGATGACAATGCATGAGTTTATAAGACCCAAGTCATTACTCACCAAAGTAAGATGTAGAACATTGACATTGTGGACAATTGACTTAGTGTCCCGCAAAACTGTGATCCTGAGCCCCATGGCCTAGTTATACATTCCATCCAGGTGTTTGGTTATTTCTGAGAAGGTTTTGTAACTCCCC